TTCTTTCTTTAACCTTTTATTTCAAAACATTAGAGATACATAGCAAGTTGTAAAGGTACTATAGAGAGGTACCCTGGACCTTCATAGTTTCCTCCAATGGTTATATCTTAATTATGGTACATTATCAAAGCAAGGACATTGACACTGATACAATGCCTGTGTATAATTGTTTTATTTTGTTGCATGTGTAGATTTATGTAACTATCACCACAGTCAAGATACAGAACTAATCCACCACAAAGATGTGCCCTATGGTACCTTTTTATAATCATACCTCCTCCAGCCATCTCTGCCCCCTGGCAACCATTGGTCTGTTTTCCATCTCTGTAACTTTATCATTTTGACAATGTTATAAAGAAAATAGAACATGTGAGTTTTTTTATCATGTTATCTTTTGAGATTCTTGTATATGTTTAGTTTTTTGAGAAACTACCCAACTATTCCCAGATTGGCTGTACCATTTTATGTTCCTATCAGCATGAGATTGAGAGATTCAGTTTCTTCCATATCCTCACCTGCATTTGATATTGTTGCTATTTTTTTAGTTTTAATCATTTTGGTAGGTATGTAGTGATATGGTCTTAGTTTTTCTTTGAAGTGATCTTTTTGTGATTTAGTTTGCATTTTCTAATTAATGGTGTTGAGCATCTTTTCATGTGCTTAGTGGCTATTTGTATATCTTTGGAGAAGTGTCTGTTCAGGTCCTTTGCATATTTTTTAATTGGGTTGTTTGTCTTTTTTGTTATTGAGTTATAAGAGTTGTATGTCCTATGTATCAGTCCCTTGTCTGATACATGATTTGAAAATATTTTCTCCCATTATCTAATTCCCACAAGGAACCCATATGATTGTTTTTTGAATGTTGCTTGTCTTTGAAGGAACACCCCGAGGACCACCATTATATGGAAGAATAGTGTGAGGGATGAGGTCTAAGAATGAGCAGTGGTAATTGACAGCTTGACCAGTCTTTCTTACCAGCTCTTGGGAGTTGAGCACAGGGGATGGTAATGACTATTCTAGGCTAGCAAGAAATCCCTCAAGTCAGTAGGAATGCTCTGGCTCAGAATGATATATTTCTTGTCATCATTTTTCTTTCTTTAACCTTTTATTTCAAAACATTAGAGATACATAGCAAGTTGTAAAGGTACTATAGAGAGGTACCCTGGACCTTCATAGTTTCCTCCAATGGTTATATCTTAATTATGGTACATTATCAAAGCAAGGACATTGACACTGATACAATGCCTGTGTATAATTGTTTTATTTTGTTGCATGTGTAGATTTATGTAACTATCACCACAGTCAAGATACAGAACTAATCCACCACAAAGATGTGCCCTATGGTACCTTTTTATAATCATACCTCCTCCAGCCATCTCTGCCCCCTGGCAACCATTGGTCTGTTTTCCATCTCTGTAACTTTATCATTTTGACAATGTTATAAAGAAAATAGAACATGTGAGTTTTTTTATCATGTTATCTTTTGAGATTCTTGTATATGTTTAGTTTTTTGAGAAACTACCCAACTATTCCCAGATTGGCTGTACCATTTTATGTTCCTATCAGCATGAGATTGAGAGATTCAGTTTCTTCCATATCCTCACCTGCATTTGATATTGTTGCTATTTTTTTAGTTTTAATCATTTTGGTAGGTATGTAGTGATATGGTCTTAGTTTTTCTTTGAAGTGATCTTTTTGTGATTTAGTTTGCATTTTCTAATTAATGGTGTTGAGCATCTTTTCATGTGCTTAGTGGCTATTTGTATATCTTTGGAGAAGTGTCTGTTCAGGTCCTTTGCATATTTTTTAATTGGGTTGTTTGTCTTTTTTGTTATTGAGTTATAAGAGTTGTATGTCCTATGTATCAGTCCCTTGTCTGATACATGATTTGAAAATATTTTCTCCCATTATCTGGTTTGACCTTTTATTTTGACTGTGTCCTCTGAATACAAAAATTTTAATTTTTGATGAAATGCAGTTTATTTTTGTTTATCTGTTTATCCTTTTTTTCACTTGTCATTTGTGTTGGTGTCAAGAAACCACTTCCTAACCCAAAGCCAATTAAGATTTACCTTCTATGTTTCCTTCTTGGAATTTTATAGTTTGATGCTTAGGTATGCACCCTTTTTGAGTTAGTTTTTGTATATGGTGTGAGGAAGGGGTCCAACTTCCATCTTTTGCATGTATGTATATGTAGTCATATAATTTAGTTTTGACTATATTTTTGAACTACATAAATTCAATAATGTATGTATTCTTTTGTGACTGACTTCTTATATTTGTGAGATTTATGGATCTTATTGTGTGGTACTCTATTGTCATTGCTATAAATCATTGAATACATTTACAAAAATTTATTCATCTATCTTATTGTTAATAACATTATTAATAGTTATTTCCTGTTTGGCTAGTAGAAATAATGCTGCTGAGGACCATTCTCGTATGCTTAGGTGCACATATGCTGGCAATCTCTTGAGTGTAATAGGGAAATATATATAGGGATATTAGGATATTCATGTACTGAACTTTGTATCTTCGGCCAGTTTTCCAATGTTGTACTAATTTATACTCCCTCTAGTAACATAGAAGAGTTCTGTTGCTCCACATTTTTATCAACACTTAATATTGTCAGTCTTTTTAATATGCTAGGTATTTCATTATGATTTTAACTTATATTTCCCTGATAACCACTGAGGTTAAGCAGCTTTTCATGTGTTTATTAAATGTGGTATTAGTTGTTTAGATATGGCTTTAAAAAACATTTCTTTCTTACAGTGTTGGTGGCTCTATATTATAGAGTCTTTGTATTCTAATTCTGGTAATCAGGCTGAAAGGACAGACCCTGTTTGGAATATGTTCTTCTTTCAGAAGGATAAGAAAAAACAGAAACTACTAACATCTTTTGAAGTTTCTGCTTAGATTCAGTAGGTCATATCCATTCAAATTCCATAGCCCCAACTATATCACAAAACTGTGCTCAATGTCAGTGGGCCAGGGGGATCCTCCTCTCACAGGAGGTAAAACAAGACATATGACCATGGATGGGGATGAAAAATCCTTTCACAAGAGAAGGAAAGGGCACAAATACTCTGAAACAGTAATAAACACACTTTATTTGTGAGGTGCCTGCTCAATCCTCTTGTCACTTTCTCCTGATTTGACTTTTTCTTACTGATTCCTAGTGGGATTTTTTTCCTTCCTTTTTTCATTTTCTTAGTAAGTTCTGGATATAAAACTTTTGATTGTTTGTATTGTAGATATTTTTTCCCACTTTACGACTTGCCTACTTAATCTCCTCATGATATAGTAGAGATATAATTGATATACACTAGTTTCAAGTGTACACCATAATGACTCGTTATTTGTATATATTTTAAATAAAATTCTTAATTTCAATATTATCTAGTTCATCAGTATTTTTCCTTTATAAATATGTTTTTTGTTTCTTGATTAAGAAGTCTTTCCCTACTCCAAGATTGTGAACATACTCTTTTCTATTATATTTTGATTCTTACTGTTTTGCCTTCTACATTTCAGGTTGCAGTCCACCTAGAGTTAATGTTGAGCTGACATTTTAACCTATTGCTGCAAGTCTAGAAAAGAGCTAAAATGTCTAAGTGGTTTCTAAGATCAAATGTATTTGGTTTACATATAGAAACATGATACTAAACTCACATGTGTGGAAGATATATCTATTAGTGACACATGTTTACCAAATTTATTATATGTAGAAACATGTTCAGCATGTTTAAATTTTTACCGCATTTAAAATGGCAAAAATCAACCTTTCCTTATGTAGTGAGTGAACTACAATTTCTTTAGCTACTGATACCTGTATTTTAGCTACTATCAGGAAGGCCTATTCATTAGGTGAGGCAGTAATCCTGGTCTTTCTGGAAACTGAGATTGTCAATTTTATTTTATTTTATATGCTTACTTATTCTTTGTGTCCCAAGTTGTCTCTATGAATTTCTAGTGAAAGAACCAAAGAGAATCATTTCTGGATGCTTAATACAGGAATTGTTTAAATAATAATATTTCTATTATGCAGATACATTGGTGGTTTGCCTTTTTTTTTTTCAGCAAAAGTTGTTTCCTACAGAGGTGGTACTTAGACATAAACACTGAGTATCTGTTGGAGCACTGTTGTTATTCTCATATTTGTAGGATTAAGTTTTATCATCTAATAGACAAGATATTTGTTCTTAAAAATTGACCATTTTTAAACAAACAGTAACATTTGATATAGGTTGGTTTAACTTTTGTACATGGTATTTATTGTCCTTCCTAAATGCAAACTTTTAAATCTTGGTAATAGATCTTACGGTTATAATGAAAAGACTTGTTTAACTTGTCTTTTAGCATTGATAGTTCAGCTTGGGAATTAGACAAATCTCCTACCTGAAAAAAAGAGTAAATTGCTTAAACAGTAGTTAAGAAATAGTATGCATTAAAAATCATTATGAAGATTAATGGATGACAGAATCACTGAATATAAAGGATTTGGCCAATATAGAAATAATTAATTACATCTTTGTGTTTAGCTTTTAAAAAATACATAGATAATTAAAGGTCAAAATTCTTAAGGGTAGTGCTGTACAAATTCTTTGCAGGCAAATACTTCATAATACAAAAACTTAATATACTAAATTTACTTAAAAACATACTACAGAAACAAAGTCAACTTTCTGGTACTTCTAATGGTTCTGTTTCTGGTACTTCAGAATGTAACATTTCAGAATTGGTGTGATCACAAAAGGTTGCAGTATTATGCTCCCAATTATGTGATAACACTTGTTTGTCTTATAACTAGCAATTGTGTGTATGTACAGTAAGTTTTCTTTACTGTAAAGTTCAGTTCCAGTATTTAGATTCCTTGAGGACTTCCCCTTAAATGCCTTGATATTTAGATAAAATAATATTAGCTTTAATATATTTAGTAGTATAAAAGATCTTACCAAGACTTACTTTATTAACAGAATATTGCTCTTGTTTTTCAGCGGGGATCTGATGAGCTTCTTCCTTCTGGCAACATTGACGGACCTTTTACCATGAATAATTCTACTTCTACAGGTGTGTATGGTGAGTATTTTTTCAAAATCTAAAATGTTTTCTTTCTGTAGGTTTCAAAAATATTTTTTATAATCTTATTTTGCTCATTTATAAACATACATTGAAGTCTTATTTATAACAAAACTAACATTTTTGCAATAAAATTCATGTAAATGGAATTACTAGTTACATCTCTCTTAAATTTTAAGGATTAATTTGAGTCTAATTCAGTAATTCCTTTTTTGATTGATGTTCTTTATGTTACATAGTTGTGATTAATCTGTCAATAAATTGGTCACCCAGAACATCTGAGTAAAAGAGTTAGATTTAAAAACTTATGTTGAATGATAATGGATTTAGAATAGAAGTATTAAAATGATAAGAACACTTGATTTTTAAAAATTAAAATGCCATTCGTATTCCATAAGGTACAACATGATTTAAAAATAAATCTGTGAAATTTGGAGATGGTGAATGAGCAGGGTTTCAGTGTGTGGAGGAAGAGTGAGCATTTAAAGGGGCTATTGTTGAATTAGGATATCCTAGTAAGAGAGAGTAATTTGTACTATAACAGTAGTTGTTATGATGGAGAGAATTCTAGAACTTACAGAAGGTGAAATTGATGATAACCGGTGATCACTTGAATGTTTGAATAAGGCATTCATTCCATTGATGATTAACAGGTTTTGGATTTGGATAATTGGGTAGATAAATGGGTGGTGCCTTTCATTTATATTAGAAAATATAGGGAGAACAGAGTTGGACAACATGTTCAGATTTTTACACATTGAGTTTGAGGTTCCTTTGGAACGTGCAAATAGAAGTGTCATGTAGGCAGTGAATTCTGGTCTCAATATCACAAGGGACATTTGGAAGTCAATATTATACACAGTTAACAACTGAAGTCATGAGAGTGTAGTCTCAGAAAAGGTGAGATTTTTATCCAAATGTTTTTGGAGTTACAAGGAATTAGGGAATGACTGAGCCTCACTTTCGAGACCCTGGGTGTTTGGCAGAGTAAACAGCCTTTATGTGAGGACTCTGTAAATAGAGAAGTCAAGATTCATTTAAGGCAAAAGAAGAAAATTCAGTGAAGAGATTAAGAATGTATGGGAATTGGTGAACTGTGGTACATTACTCTAGAGGACTAAATGGAAAGATTTTATAGGCAGGTCAGCAGTAGGGGATTTGTTCATGTATAAGTATAAACACAGTTGCTGAGTCCATCCCCAGAATTCCAATTCAGTAGGTAATGGAGTAGGTCTTGGGAATTTGCATTCTACAAGTTCATGGGTAATGGTAATGCTGCCATTTGAGGAACCACATGATGAAGGAAATGCTAGAACCTGATTAGACTCTGGATCTGGTTGGCCTTTAAAAAAACTTCTGCCCTGAATCCCCAGAGTTAACAGTACATACAGGGTGGGGCCCATGTGTTTGTTCTTATTTTGAAAACTGATTATGAGTTTGTTCCTTTGGTCATATTTATGAACCACTAGGATGGATGACTGAAAGAATTCTATCCTGGTTGATTGATGACTTACAAAAAGAAAGAAGTAAAGGAAGAATGAGATGTGGGTTTAGCTGGCAGCGACAGTTTGCTGTGGTTTGTTTGTGTGTTTTGAATTTCTTCTTGGATCCCATTCCATTCTGGGGTCAGTGTTGCTCTTCCAGAAATACATCTTCTTCAGTAGTTTTTCATCAAAGCTCTATAAACGGTAACCTCTCAGACTCTGAAAATTTCTCTGTCATTATTGCTTTTGCGTGATTCTAGGTTGACAGTTATTTTCTCTCAGCGCTTTGAAGGTACTATTCTATTATTCTTTAAGCTTCTGTTGTTAGGAAGTCTGTTGTCAATCTAGATTATTACTTTATTTCTCTCAGCGCTTTGAAGGTACTATTCTATTATTCTTTAAGCTTCTGTTGTTAGGAAGTCTGTTGTCAATCTAGATTATTACTTTGTAGATAAAATTACTTACCTATAGTAAACATAATTTTCTTCATGTAATTCTAGATTAATGATAACTAAATAACTAACTAACTAACTAACTAAATAAATAAATAAATTACCTGTAGCATTTTTCTCTTTATTTTTGTCCTGTGTTTCACTATGGATCACAGGTTCTCAACACTAGATGTTCACTAAAATAGCTTAGGAAGCTTTGAAGAAAATACAGATGCTTTGACTGATCCCACACCAATTCCAAGATCTCTGGGAGAAATGGAGATCTAGGCACTATTTGTTTTTGTTTGTTTATCACCTTCTTGGGTAGTAAATCTAAGGCAAAGCCAGGGCTGAAGACCATTTATGGAGACTTACTTCCGTTTGTCCTCCTGAGGAGTCACCCAACTCTTCCACAGAATTGCCTCCTGGATCTCCAGTTAGACATGGATAAGTGCCACCTTATTCAGTCCTACATTTGTTTTACTCTCTTAGCATTAATTGTCTTCGCTTTATTGATAGGGTCTTATTTTTGGGTGATTTCCTTAAAATGGTTTTCTGATTCACTCATTGTTCAGCTTTGTCTAACTTGCTGTTTAATTCTTCCCCTGAGTATTTAATTCCAGGGCTTGTATTTTTCATTTCTCTATGTTCTGTTTGATTCATTTTTAAAGTTTATCTAGTTTTATTTTTTAAAAACAGTGTCCTTTTCTTATGGTTTCTATTGTTTTTCCCTCAATTCTTTAATCATGTATAACAAAATTTTTATATCCTCAGATTTTACAATTACGGAGGAGTTCTTAGGGGTGTTGTTAATACTCCTGGTTTTTTTTTTTTTGATGCTTTATTTTTCCTTGTGTAGTTCACAACTTTTGGTTATGGAATAATCTAAGCTGAATTGTTCTTTCTTCTATGAGACTCTCCAGGATAGTTTTGTGTTTGCTCTATTAGACTTTCTAGGGCATCACCAGCACCTAACATCTTCTAATATATATGTTAATTTATTGTCTTTGGGATTCCTGTAACAGATGGGAAGAGAAAATTCAAAATACAAACATTCACATTTCCCCAATAAAAGCCCTGAACAGAAATAGTCTTCCTTGTTAAATACCCTTGGTAAACGGAAAATTTTTCCTTTTAGTTTGCCTTTCACTGAGGGGATAGCCTACTGAGAGGCCTGGTGTTGACATCAGGACATTTCACTTTTGAGGTCACCTATACATTAAATATATTTTTGTAATATTTGATCCAATATATGCAGTTCTTCAAAAGCTGAAGACTTTGGTTCTCTCTTCCTTGACTGCTTTCAATGAAGAGGTCTAATTGATTTTGAACGAACTGACAAATTTTAGGTCTTATTTACAAAAGAGTTTAATCCCTTTGTAAGATACTTAAGTAGCTCTTCAAAGACACATAAATTTAAAAAATTTTATTGATGATGGGTGGCTCTAACCCTGGGGGAAAATCCCGGGGCAAATACCTTTAAAACCAAAATCAGTCAAAGGGAGAGATAAAGTGGGAGAAACCCATTTATTTCTTACAAGTAGTCCCATGTCTCTGCTGCAGCAGAAGAAGAGAGCTCCACCCAGCCTCTTTGGTCCAGATAAGCCCCTGCCCTGCCTATGTAATTACCTATTGATAATGGAGATACACTAAAGCCAGGCGAGAGATTCTGGAAATATTGCAATTTTACCCACACTAGCTAAAAGAAAGAGCCATGTGTATGTGTTGAAGGACCTTTTTTGTATTCAGTATCTCCATCACAAAATTTTGTAGTTCAGTTCATGGAAATGTGATTAACTGCTTTGTAACATTTGACATCTATAGTTTCTTTTTCTAATATTCCTATATTGCTTGTTTGGTACTAGGAGTTATGTGTGCAGCAGCCAATTGCAGGTACATGTCCGCTCCATAAAATTGTCAGGACAGTGTTTTTACCATGACCCTGTGCTACACCAAAATTTGTATTTGTATTATTACCTCAAAAAAATGTTTTATCTTTAATACAGAACTTTTGAAATAGAATTTTCAGTAGTGTCAGATATTTCACTTTTGAAAGAAGGATTTTCCAAAACTTTATTTTGATTCCGTTGAAAGGATGAACCCATTCTTGGGTAGTAACTGATTTTCTAACGTTGGCAGATGATAAACTGATATAATTTAAGTGTTCGCAAAGTTCTCTTAATGGAGTCAACATATTAACAACAAATTGTTACACTGTTTACTCATGGAGAAGAAACTTGGCAAATTAAATTAATTCAAAATTACAGATTTATGGATTTACTTCAAGGTATAAAATGAAATGGTGATAAAGAAAGTTGTATTTCTTGTGCATCTGGCCTGTAATTCCTACATTCCTACTGGCAACCAAATGAACTGCATAGGTAGCAAGTTGAATACTGATGGAAGGAGTTAGATGCTGTTCTTAGCTATTTGTGACTGTATTTTTTTTTAATCAAAGGCTATGTTGTCTAATTGTGAAAAAATTGTAACAAAGATTTTAAGTCTTTCTGAGAGACAGAATAGATTTAGTCTCTCATTGGTTGACTTTAAGATTTAACCATTGTTCATTTGGTTTGGAAACTATGAGGTGAGACCATGCAAACACTAGAAGTTTAAAAAAAAAAACACACAAAACTTTTTGCCAAGCCTATTCTGGCTTATTTCAATGCAACTGTTAATTTTTTCAAAAGTGAAAATCTTAAACTGTACAGGATGCTGGAATTGGAGCAAAATCGTGACTCTTTTTCAGGCTAACTGGGACATACTATCCTTCTACTTAGTTGTTAGTTACTAATATTCCTTTAAAAATATCTCTTAGCTTCATATGGACTTACCTTCTTCTATATAAACTCTAAATTATTTCATCTAGTTCTCAAATAATTCCTCAATCCCCAGTCTTCCTTCACAGAATCTTAGGGTTTCTGATTAGAAATACATTAAATTTATATGTTAGTGTGAAATGTTGGTGTGTATGTTACATTATTTTTCCATCCAGGGACATGACATGATTCCACGATTTTAGGTCCTATCTATGTCCTTTGATATTTCTGAAAATGTTTTATACTTTGTAAATCATGCTTCTTTT